CTGGATGACCGCATCGGCGCGTGCATGAAATTCCTCAGGGCTTCGGAGGCCTGCAGTCCAGAACGTATTTCCCGATGCCTCGAGCGGTATCCGCTCTTGCGGGATATGGTCGCGAATCCTTACGACTTCACGTCCCCGCCGGGCCCTCGGCTTGCGCGGGTGCGTAGTCACGTGATGGAGTTGCAGCGGGATTTCACCATGCAGGAGCTGAACAAGCTGCACGAGGACCTCCGCGAGCTGGAGCCGGCCCAAGCAGCGCGCCGGCGGCGGCGGAACCAGCAGCTGGTCTGCAAGCTCGCGCCGGGCCGCAGCTGTCAGCACTTCGCGCTGGACGCGCCTACCGGGGAGGCGACGACGGACCCCCAGGAGATGCTCGGCATTCTTCGCGGCCATTGGTCCGAGGTCTTCCGCCGGAAGGACATGGACACGTCCCTGCTGGACACTTGGTTGCGAGAAGATGCGCGGCACCTCCCAGCCGACTACACCGACCACCTGCCCCACCTCGCTGCGCCGCGTCGTGCATTCCGGCAGGCGATTCGCAAGTCGGGGAACTCCGCACCGGGCCGGGATGGCATCCCCTTCAAAGCGTGGCGTAAGATAGTGGACTTAGCCACCGACGCCTTCCACGAAGCGTTCGAGGCGATGATCGCCCCCACAGGGCTCGACATGGCCCAGGAGGCGTGGCACGATTTCAACGAGAGTGTCATGGTATTCTTACCGAAGAAGCCCACTTCGACGCGAGCAGATGGCACCGCGGTCTACCCAGCAAGCAACATGCGGCCACTTAACCTCACCAATACCGACAACCGCATCCTCTGCAGCGCAGTGCGCCTGCACGTCGAGCCGCTGGTCGAGGCCGGAGCTTCTCCGGAACAGCGCGGCTTCCTGAGCGGGCGTTCCATGCTGGCCAACGTCATCGACATCGAGGAGGAGATGCTGGCAGACGCGCACCTCGAGGAGTTCCCCCTGGCGGTCTTCCTGGACTTCGAGGCGGCGTTCCCGAGCCTCGACCAGACCTTCCTCCAGCGAGTCCTGGCGGAGCGGAGATGGCCCGTATGGTTCCGGCGGTTCGTGGCAATTCTTTACACCGACAACTTTTGCCAGCTCTCCCTCTGTGGGTTTACAGACGCCGGCTTTGGCATTACCGCGGGGGTTCGACAGGGCTGCCCTCTATCTCCCCTGCTGTTCGCCATCATCTCGGACGTGGTGTTGCGACGGATTCGCCGCCTCTGCCCAGACGTGGTCCTTCGCGCGTGCGCGGACGACATTGCCCTTGTCCTCCACCGGGGCCCCGCAGACTGCGAACTGCTAGAGCCGATCTTCTACGAATACGGGCTAGTCTCTGGCCTTCGTCTACACAGTGGCAAATTCATCATTGTGCCGCTCTCCCTGCACACGCGCGAGCAGGTACGTGCTGCTGTCGCCGCAGCGGCGACCCGGTGGGGCGCCTTCACCATCTCGAGCCACGCGAAGTACCTTGGCTATTGGCTGGGCCCCACCCGTGGGGCCCGCCTCTGGGATGAGGTGTTCAAGAAGATGCAGGGCCGCGCGTGGACGTGGAACAAGATCGGCGGGGGCAGGCTCGTGACGCTGGCAGCGTACCGAATGTACATCCTGCCTCTCGCGGGCTTCGCAGCGCAGCTGGACCAGTTACCCCCGCACTGGCCGCGAACAGAGCAACGGCTCCTCACGACTCTCTTCCCTGGAGCCCGGGGCTGGGCCACCCCATGTCTTCTCCAGCACCTCCGGAGTTTGGGATTCGCTTCTGAGCTCCCCAGTGTGGAGGCCATGGCGCAGGGAGCCACATGTCGTGCATTTCGCTGGGAAGACATCGCGCATGGCGGCCTGCGACTTACCCGTCGTGCTCGGCGTCTGCAGCGTGCCCGCTCCTCATCGGACCACTTGCAGCGCCTCGCCACCTGGGCCCATTGGTTCGACGGCAACTTCATCAGCACGGTCCTCGAGGCGCAGCACCGGCTCGAAACGGTTGCGACGACCCAGGGGCTCTCCGTGGACTTGCTGCTGCAGGGTTCTGCCACCACCCCCACACCGAAGCAGCGATGGCAGCGCCGATGTGGAGAAATACTCGGCGCTCGTGACACAGTACGTGGGTCTCTTCCGGCACCTGCGCCGCAGACTGGACCGGCTGCCTTTGCTCACTCTGCCGGGGCGCCGGGTGCAGCGCTTCGAAGCTACACTTTGCCGCCTTGGGCCAATGGTGCCGCCCTGCGTTTGGGCTGCTGTGCTCAAAGCGCTCTTGGATGGTTGGACAACCAAGCCAGCGTCGCCATGCCTCTTCGGCTGTCAGCATGGGCATGACGACCTCCGACACTACGCCTACTGTCCCGTCGTGGCGCGGCTCTACCGCACACAGTTGTGCCTCCAGCAGGGCCCCCCGGCATCGCGGCTGGACGAGTTCCTATTGCTGGCCGAGGCGTCACCACGCACGTTTGCCCTCCGCGCTCTCGGTCTGTACGCGACCTTCAGGGCCACCAACGCAGCACGGCACGGGCAAGCCTCCGCCACGGGCGCTTGGCCGCAGGCACTGGCAGACGGCGTGGCCTTCCGCGCCCCCCTGACCGAGCACTTCGCCAACCGGGCCCGCTAGGGCAGCAACGACACGCACAGCATCCACTACTCCAACGTCTGAGGGCGGTCGTGGCAAGGCCTCTCTCTCCACCCGCCTCCCCGCCTCCCCTCCCTGCTCTTGTGGTGTACTCCCCCAAATCATCGCCTATTCTGTCCTTGTGTATGCTCCCCCCGAGCCCGGGGCCAGTGCAGTTTTTCCTCTCTCTACTGCCGGTTGCTTCGCACGCGTGGTATCCTCGATAGCTCCCGGCATCCGCCGGACAACCAGAAGGGTTGCGATCAGCTCTCTTCCCCCTCCCCCTTCCTCCCTCCTCTCTGCCCTCCCCCTCTTCCACGCCCTCTTTTTGCAGGTGGGTCCGAGGCTTTGCTGAGGGTCCTTTGTCCGTCCCCTAGCGGGGTCGGAACTGCCCTCCCCCTCTTTCATCTCCCTCTTCCTCCCTCCCTTCCTCCCCCTTTTTGTCTGGACTAATGAATCGTAATATGCTTCAGTGCGCTGTGCGTGCACTTGTTCAGCCTCGCCCTCTGTTCCGTAGGATTCGTGGTCGCTCATGGTCCCGGTCTGGGGACCTTAGGCTTCAGTTGTGCACCACCGTTTCGTGAGTTTTCCATGTTATGTACGTGCTCGATGATACGAACCTGGGGCATTTCGTATCCGCCCTTCCTCCTCTCCCTCTCCTCCTCTCGTCTCCGCCTCGCCATAGTGTGCATGATGTGGGAAGTACCAATGGCTGTCTAGGCCTTGGGGGGTACAGGCACATGGCACGCCCCGTTCCTCTGTTTCGGCGCAGCCGGCGTTAAAACTGTTAAAGCAGTTTCCGCCCAATCCGGCGTTAAAAACTGTTAAATCAGTTTGCGCCCACTTCCGAATGCCACGGAGCCAACCTGCCAGGGCCAAGCGAAAAACCCGGTCTTAAGTAACATTTCCGCCCTGGCCCCCAGGGCAATAATTGTCACGGGTGCTCTTTCGCTGTCCCTGCCACGTGCCTGATAGCGTCTCCGTATTATTTGGTGGTCGGCTGCCCACGCAGCCCAGCTTCCCTCCATGTCCGGGGGCAGTGGCCATGCGAAGTTGTCGAGGCATCCAGCCGCCGTGGTCGACGTGAGGGGTAAAAAAAAAACTCCGAAAACAATGTGTGCCATAACATGTCATACCATGTGAGGACGCATCAGGCGAGAACCCGCTGTTGAAGCCGACCCACCCTCCGTCTGTGCATCCGTGGGGCATTCTGAAGATGCCACAGGCGACGCACCGAGTCCGAAGTCGGCACGGCACTTTCAAGGATCGCGACAACAAGTTGCGAGGAAGTATCTTCCGAGGCCTGCGAGAACCCGATGTTGAAAGCCACGAGCCTCCCACTCTCTGTGCAACTGTTGGACGTTTCAAGCTTCAGAGTCGCAATGTGTGAAGAGGTTTCGGGCGAAGCGTCAGGAGCGCCCGACGACACCGTTTGTGGTGCGACGAGGAGGGCTTGGTCATGAGGAGGAGGGCTGGACGACGAGGAGGACGAGGGGTTTTTGTAGTCTCTTGATGGTGTCTGAGGTTCTCTCCGGCAACCTTCGTATCTAGCGCTCCTCCGATTCACACAAGGGCCGTGGTGACAGGTCGCTCCCCCAGGTTGTAGAAGGACGTAACGTGTGGCAGTGAGCCCCCAAGTCTGGAGAAGACAGTTGCAGTTGTGATACCCTGGTATACCCAGGGTTCAGGTAAGTATGACGTGCGGCGTATCTCATCACCAGGCGCCAACACTTCGTTGTCGGTACTGGGGGCCTCTCTAGAGGTTATTTTGGGGGCCTCTCGGGAGCCTCTTGAGAAAGTCTGTGAGACGTCATTGGGCCTTTCGAGGATCTTTGGGCCGTCTTGGTCGAAATTGGGACGTCCTCTGGCGGAGAGTCTGTGGTCTGACGGGAAGAATCCTGCGACCCTTTTGAGGTCGCCTTCAGCCGATTTGAAGACAGCCTCGGCGGGTCTTGGACCATCTCATTTTGGACAGTCTTCTTGTCTGCTAGGGGCCGCTTGCTGCGTGTTGGAAGACGCTCGGGGAGGGTCTTTGGGGTCTCCTGGGGTCTCCTCTGGAGGCGATATAGAAGGACAGACAAATCAAGACGTTCTGAAGGGCCTGTAAGAGGACTCTCGTGACCTTGTGGGCGACTCTTCAGGCGTTCTTCTGGGCTTTACCGGACGGTTGGGGCTCCCAAGGCATCAGGTCCATGGTGGAGACTTTTTGGACACCTGTTGGGGCGGTATTGGCTGTCTTGGGTGTTCTATTGGCCGGCCCTGGGAGCGTCGAGGACGCCGCGAAAGAGCTGTGGAGCGGTGGTGTGTGCATGTGGAGGGAAGTGGGCCCATTAGAAACTTCAGAAACTCATTCTGGCAGCATTGGCATTATTACATGCGTTAGCTTGCCAGGGAGGCACGGTGGCGGATTGCCCTCCAAGAGAACCGGATGTGTGCAGAGGGCCACCGTTGTGCGTGCCCCGTGTTCGCGGCCAACAGCGAGGTTGTGCGATCGGCATACGACGCGTACGCCACTTACAGTGTCTTCTATTCTGTCACAAAGGGTGCCAGTAGCGCGTCAACTACAGCCGCGGGACTCACTGGCATGATCAGCAGCAGTTCCATCCCATCGGGAGTTGCCACGGTGATCGGCGGTGTCAGCAGTGCTGGTGCGGTGGCCGTTAGTGCTTTTGCGGCCTACGCTTGGCCATTAACTGTGGGCCTAGGGGCCATCAGTCTGGTGACCTTTGGCGGCTCGTACGTATGGAAGTGGGCGCGGCACACTTGCTCCAGGAACGTGGGCTGTTATCCCATGGACTGCGTCGAGGAGCCAGGGCGTGGCTGTCGCATCCGTGCGCCGGATGATTTCATGGACGAGCGGAACCCATTCTGGTTCTTGCCACCGCCCACCTACAAGTGTGCGTACAAGAACGGGAGGTGCCAGCTCTCCCAATGCTCTAAGTCGAACGTATGGAATCAGACCATCGGTCTGGGCATGACGAGGGCGCTCCTGAAGACGGGCAACACGCAGGTGTACAATTGCCAGCCCATGCTGTACACTGACATGTCCGCTCGTCAGCGAATGAGGCTGGAGTCGGAAACCGCGGACTTGAAGGAGGAGTACGAGACAGCACGCCGCATTAATCAGCGCATGCGGCGAGCTTTGGAGGAAACTTGCCCGTGGTCACGGCCCACACGAGACAACGTGTTCCGATGCAAGGACCACCAGATATCTTGCAAAGGCTGGATTGAAGACCAGTCATGCTGCGACCACTATGGTGGGATCTTGCAGTGCCCCGAGAATTTCCCTCTGCTCTGCCAGGACGGCTATTGTGGGAACGACGAGGACCTCTGCGAGAAGCGCGGCGGCGTCCGGCCGTGCCCGTCGGCGAACGAGTGCCCGTGGATGTTGCCCAGCCCCGTGGTTGGCCATGCTCAGTGCAATGATGGAAACTACTCCCGGGGTGGCTGGGTCACCGGCGCGTGCCAGAGGGAGGGATACGGCGGCATCAGGCGGTGCCCGTGGGACCAGCCAGTCATGTGCAATAACCGCACTTGCTCTGGAGACTATTGCTGCTCGAAGAATTGCAAAGACCAAGGAGGCCCCCGGCAATGCAATGTGTCCAACTCAGTGGACAATGATTCCGATCTCAAGAGTTATGAGTAGTATGTTGCTTTTTGCATGTTTGACAGAAGCTTGACGCGAAGAGCACCTAAGCGTCCTCAGCAGGGCATCGCACAATTATACATACGAGCACTGTGCCTCCATATCCAGGACAGTAGGGGAGCCCCAGAGAGGCCATGAATCCCGCAAATGGCACGAGTAATGAAACGACACGGGGCCACAATGACAGTTTTGACGCCTCCCAGACGGCTCAAGACCGTCTAAAGTTCCTGCCAAGAGGCCCCCTAGATGAGCCTGGGGGGCTCTAAAAGGGCCCATGGCAGAACCCCGAGAGGCAAACCCACATGAGTTGTCTTTTTGGTTTTCGGTGATTTCAGGGCACACAGCTCCAGCAGCTCCCAAGATCGCTCCCAGGCGGCCCAAAAGATCTCCAGAGAGCCCCAAGACGGGCCACAGACGGCCTACGCTGGCCCCATGCGAATCCCCCGGGCGCTCAACCCGGCTTCCAAGATTGCCTGAGGGCCATCAAGAAGCCCGCATGGTTTCCTGATGGACCCGCCGAGGCCCACGGGCCACCCACGACCCACAGACGCCCCCACAGCATTCCCGCGAGGCTTTCTGCATGCACGATGTGTTGATTTTCTGTATACGCATCTACACACGATATATATACATAGACATGTGCCTACACATACACACATATATATACATTTATGTTTGCAGATGTATAATGTACATAAACATGTACATCCACATACACATCTACATGTACATATTCATATACATATACATAAACATGCACGTATGCATATACATAACCAAACATATATATATATATATATATATATATATATATATATATATATATGTATATATAAATGTATATGTATGTTTTTGCAATCCGAAGGGGGGACGATCCCTCCCCAAAACGGGCCCCCCGGATCCGTGGCTCCGAGGCCCCCCTGTACGCCCTTGCAGGAGGTCACCCGAGCTCCTGGGAGCATCTGTTGGGCCTAGGCAACGGGCCCACATCGATCAGGAGGGCGGCCGAACGGCCCCGCGAGGGCCCCAAGAGGCCCCAGACACCTACCAGACGCCCGAAGACGATCCAAAGACGACACCCAAGAGGCTTTGCAAACGCAAGAAAAATGGTGTCCGATAGGTTGTGTATAGTTTTGGGGGATGCTTTGTTCTACGGTTTTCCAGGCGTCCGAGACCGCCCAGGAGGTCCGAAAGTCGCCCCATAACTACCCGAAAGGGTTTTCAGGCAGTTCAAGAGGACCCCAAGGCGGTCCAACAGAGCGCCAAGATGGCCCGAAGAGAGCCACATGACGGCCCAAGATGGCCCCAAGACGCCCCCCGAAACATTCCAAATCGTGACTTGGTTGTTCAGGGAGACCGCGGTCGGAAGCAGGGTGGCCCGAGGAAGCCCCCAGAGGCGCTCTTGGGGCCTCGCTGGGCCGTCTCGAGGCCCTCTTGGGCAGTTTGCGCTCTCAGAAAAGACTCTCAGGCCGTCTTGGAGCGTCGGGAAGCCGAAAAAGAGAGAACGCTCAAATCCTTCACACTCCAAAGGGGAATTAGTTATGTGTGCCTCTTGGGGCCCTCTTGGGGGGCCTCTTGGAAACCATTTGGGGGTAGTGGGCCGTCTTGAGGCCATCCTGGGCGTCTTGGAGCCACCTGTCGACGATTCGGGGCCCTCTTGGACCGTCTTGGAAGCCTCCTGGGGCCCTCTTGCCCCCTTTGGGGGGCCTCCCTGGGCCCGACCGAGCCGTGCAAGACGACGCCCCGGGGCTCATGGGGCACGCGCCAAGCCCCGGAGGGTTTGGCAATGCGGGGCCTGGCCCCCCCTACTTGGCATCGCTCGGACGTGTGCATTTTTCCTTCGGCGAGGACCATCGAGGAGCATCCTTGATCATTTGGCGAAAAAACCACGCACGAGACCAAAAAAAACACAGGGAATCGACGTCCGAGCGATGGCCCCCCTACAGAGTCCTTAGGGTCGAGGACGGACTCAAGGGATTTGGCCTGGCTCTCTCTCTCTCTGGGGGCTACGCGCAACGCGCGCGCCGCCAGAGGAAAGGCCACGGGCGTGTGGCCCAGCACGCCTACCTCTTTGCAGCCGTCACTCACCCGAGGACACTCCAACCCCGTGCATCAGGGCACGGTGGTGGATCCCCTAGTTCATTTAAAACGTTATCTTCTATGGAACGAGTAAAAGGGATTCGCATGTATGTTTAATGTGCTGAGTTTAGAGCTCTGGTTTTGCACTCTTTGCTCGGATATGCTTATTCCTGCTCCTATTTTTTATAGGGCCAGGGACCCCAGAAAAAGCGCACCGACCCCAGAAAAAGCTCTCCCCCCCTCAGAATTCGACCCACCCTGGGCTTCTCGCGAGCACCCCACGAGAGCCCGAAGACGGCCCCAGAGGGCTCCAGGCGCTCTGGCGCGCCCATGGGAGGATGGAGGAGGAGGAGGAGGAGGAGGAGGAGGAGGAGGAGGAGGAGGAGGAAGGAATAGGAAGGACGAGGTGGAGGAATGAGGAGGACGCATGAGGGAGGAGAAGGACGGCCGCCAGGGAGGAGGAGGGACGATGGAAGAGGCGGAAGAAAAGGGGGAGACGACGACAAGGAGGCAGAGGAGGGAGTGCGGAGTGGGCCTGCTCACCGCTTGTCTGGCTGGTCGTAGTCGTCGTCGTCGTCGTCGTCGTCGTCGTCGTCGTCGTCGTCGTCGTCGTCGTCGTCGTCGTCGTCGTCGTCGTCGTCGTCGTCGTCCCTCTTCGTAGCTGCCGCCGTGGTCGTCGTCGTTGCAGCCGCCGTCCACTTGGACTCATTCCCGCACCCAGACGCCCACAGCCAGACAATCGCAGCGGACAGTGCCAGAGAACGAGATGCACATACAGGGATCTCCGCGTGGAGCAATGGCGTTCCAGTGGTGTTGGCCTCCTGGGCCGCCAGCAGGGGCCTCCAGAACGGGCCAAGAGGCCCCCAAGAGAGCCCCCAAGAGAGCCCTGGGAGGATCTCTTGGAGCCCACGTGGGAAGCTGACATTGCCGCCCACGCTCCCGCGACCTCGAGAAAAATTAGGCGACAGGGCCTGGGAGTGCTCGAGAGCGCCCGTGACTCGGGGATCAGGGCTTTTGAGAGGGCATCTACAAGGAACTCGAAGCGAGCTGAATACGCTCCACTCCCTGCCTCGTGGCACGGTGGCGGATACAAATGTACATGTATGTATGCACATGTATGTGTATCTGTATATAGATGCACATTTATGTTTGCATATCTATATAGATATGTCTGTATATATATATATACATCTATGTATACATATGCACAAGACTGCATTGGCGCTTCGCGCCATGCGCCTTGGTCCTTGGAATCTGGTATGCAGGCGGAACTGCAGGAAGGTCAAACAGACAATTTAGCGATAGCTCATTGTTGCCTTTTCCGGCATCGCCGGTACAATCATGTTATTATGTATCCTTCCTCCATGTTTCTTTTCTGTCATTCTCGTCCTACCCTACGAATTCTCCCCTTCCTCCTCAGCTCTTTGTGCGGAGGCTCCTCCTTGGAGAGCCTCTGGGGGCCTTACGGAAGTTTGGCCTTCTGGAGGCTTCCTGGGCGTCTTTTGGGAGCCTTTGGGGGCTTCCTCGGGCCACCATGCCTCCAACCGCGGTCTCCCTGAGCGGCCGGGTCACGATTTGGACTGCTTCGGAGGGTGTCTTGGGGCCATCGTAGGCCGTCATGGGGCTCTCTCTGGCCATCTTGGACCCTGTTGTGCCGACTTGGGTTTTCTTGGACTACCCAGAAGCCCTTTCTGATGGCTTTCTTGCGATTTTCGAGCCTCCCAGGCGGTCTCGGACGCCCAGAAGACCAAAGAACAGGGCATTCCCAAAATCGAACCAAATAACATAGGAAAATCAATGTTTTCTGCGTTTTGGAAGCCTCTTGGGGGTCGTCTTCGGGCGTCTGGTGGGTGTTCCTCGCAGGGCCGTTCGGCCGTCCTCCTGATCGATTTGGGCCCGTTGCCTAGGCCCAGCAAGGGCTTCCAGCAGCACTGAAACGCCTGGGGGGCCTGCTGCAGGGGTGTCCAGGGAGTCTCCGGGGCCACGGATCCGGGGGACCCAGAGGGTCCCGGGGGTCTCGGATTCGGGGGGTCCGATTTCGGGGGGGGGGGGTCCCAGGTAGTAAAGATATATTAGTGGGAATCTTCGTCGACACAAACACACAGGCACATGCAATTTATTTATGCACATATACATAGTTATATGTGCACATATATATACACATTTATATATATGTATATGTATATCTAATATGCATATATACAGCTTGTACCAATATACACTCAGCACTGCCATCTCGAATGCCAATCCTAATTTGAGGGAGTTTCTGTGGAACTCACGTCATCCTCACCCCCGGCGCGAAGAGCACGAGCCCAGAGCGGCCTCCGGCACCGTTTCCGGACAGATCCGGCGGATCCGCGGACGAATCCCAAACCGGCGCCCTCGCTTGAGACATCCCCACAAAACGGGCCCCGGGGGAAGTGCCCACAGGAGCCCAGAGCGGCCTCCGGCACCGTTTCCGGACAGATCCGGCGGATCCGCGGACGAATCCCAAACCGGCGCCCTCGCTTGAGACATCCCCACAAAACGGGCCCCGGGGGAGGTGCCCACAGGAGCCCAGAGCGGCCTCCGGCACCGTTTCCGGACAGATCCGGCGGATCCGCGGACGAATCCCAAACCGGCGCCCTCGCTTGAGACATCCCCACAAAACGGGCCCCGGGGGAGGTGCCCACAGGAGCCCAGAGCGGCCTCCGGCACCGTTTCCGGACAGATCCGGCGGATCCGCGGACGAATCCCAAACCGGCGCCCTCGCTTGAGACATCCCCACAAAACGGGCCCCGGGGGAGGTGCCCACAGGAGCCCAGAGCGGCCTCCGGCACCGTTTCCGGACAGATCCGGCGGATCCGCGGACGAATCCCAAACCGGCGCCCTCGCTTGAGACATCCCCACAAAACGGGCCCCGGGGGAGGTGCCCACAGGAGCCCAGAGCGGCCTCCGGCACCGTTTCCGGACAGATCCGGCGGATCCGCGGACGAATCCCAAACCGGCGCCCTCGCTTGAGACATCCCCACAAAACGGGCCCCGGGGGAGGACGAATCCCAAACCGGCGCCCTCGCTTGAGACATCCCCACAAAACGGGCCCCGGGGGAGGTGCCCACAGGAGCCCAGAGCGGCCTCCGGCACCGTTTCCGGACAGATCCGGCGGATCCGCGGACGAATCCCAAACCGGCGCCCTCGCTTGAGACATCCCCACAAAACGGGCCCCGGGGGAAGTGCCCAGAGGAGCCCAGAGCGGCCTCCGGCACCGTTTCCGGACAGATCCGGCGGATCCGCGGACAGTCGATAGGCGGGGGTGGAGGCGGAAAGTCCGATGCTGGAGTCTGGAGGTCGGGGTGCTGAGCTGGTGGACGCTGGAGGTCCACAGGTGGGTTGAAGATGGACAAGAAGCCTGTACGAAATCACTGTGGCAATCTAAACGGTCGCACGGCGGCGACAGCCATCCGGCCACCTAGCTGCGGCCCAAAGGTCTTAAAGTTTTTCTGCTACCTCGCGGGGGGGGGGGAATTCGTTGCGTTTCTCCCTCCCCGGCAGACTCGGCCCGTCCAGACCGTTACTCTCCAGGGCCGATGCAACACAGCAAATGCTGCACGGAAACCGGTTCAAATCTGTACCGCACGCTCCTGCGCTATTTTTCGGGCGTGCCGGCCCATCCGCTATGGATGCGGTGCTTCGCCCCCTCGTCATCGCCCCCTCCTCCTCCCTCCCCCTTTCCCTTCATCCTCCCCCCCCCCCCTCCCGCCCTTCCACTTCTCTCCCTCCCCTCCTTTCCCCCTCCCCCCCCCCCTCCCTCCCTCCCTCCCTCTTCCGCCCTCCCGGGGAGGTGGTGGGGGGGCGGGGGTTGAGGCAGGAGGAGGAGGAGGAGCAGCAGTAGCAGGGGGGGTGTGGAGGATTGGGAGGAGGAGGAAGAGGAGGAGGAGGAGGAGGAGGAGGAGGAGGAGGAGGAGGAGGGGGACGGGGAGGAGCCGATGGGGGAGGAGGAGGGAGATGAAGAGGAGGAGATAGAGAGGAAGAAACGGGAGGATGCGGAGGACGAGGAGGAGGAGGGAGGAGGAGGAGGAGGAGGAGAACGAGCAGGAGGAGGAGGAGGCGGAGGGCCCTGATCTCCGACGATACGATTCTTTCAATCCTGGTGGCTTTCCTCGGTTTCGGGCTTCGGTGCCGCGTTCTGGCATCATGGCGCAGCAAAGACGGATCTGGGGAAGGGGTCGGGACGTTCTGGGGCCGCGGGGGCTGAGGATGCGGTGTGTGGAAGAGCAGGATGAGGAGGAGGAGGAGGAGGAGGAGGAAAAGGAGGAGGAGGCGGAGGAGGCGGAAGAGGAGGACCAGGGTGCGGGAGGAGGAGGAGGATGAGCAGGAGTAGGATGAGGAGGAAGAGGATGAACAGGAGTAGGAGGAGGAGGAGGAGGAGGAGAAGAAGGAGGATGCGGTAGGACGATGATGATGATGATGCCGATGATGATGATGATGATGATGATGACGATGATGATGATGATGATGATGATGATGATGATGATGAGGAGGAGGAGGAGGAGGAGGAGGAGGAGGAAGAGGAGGTGGGCGAGGAGGAGGAGGAGGAGGAGGAGATTTCTCGGGGCGCGCGATTTCCGCAGACTTTTCGCCGCTGGTTCGCCCCCTCGCGAGCCTCGCCCTCCTGATGCTCACGCTCTTTCTCCTCTCGATCATTTCCCTCTCGCCCAGAAGCGCGCGCCCCTTCTTCTATATACAGAAACTCCCGATCAACCGCAGAGCGGCCGGCTAGTATCAAAAAGCAGCACCGTAGACTCGCGGCCTGAAAGCCGGCGGGGCCGAGGGGCATCGACCGCGCAGATGTGTGCCCTCAGGAGCTGAAGGGCTTCGGGCAATGAACAACAGAAAGGCAGCTCTCGCGGACGCCAGTTCGCGTTTTTCCTCCGCAGTTTTCTGCTTCGGTAAATGGCAGCAGCCCGACGCTGAGCAGCATTGTACAGAGCCGGCTTGAACCTGTGATCCACGCGAGGAGCGTGTACTAAAAGAAGCACGTTGGGACGTCATATCATCATTTCAGTCTGCCAGGGTCCGAGTCTCACGATCCAAAGAACTCTGTACTGAACGTTGCGATGTAATCACATCCTGGAGCTGCCGGCGCTGAGGTCGCCGACAGGGCGGCGCTGTGGACCGTGGAGCAGAGGGGCCCCTGACAGGCAGCAGCAGCTGGGCTCTGTCATAATTATCGCCAGGCGCTTGGGAGTTCGGGCCTGCGCCCGAGGCGGAATATATGATCCATCTACTCTCTGGTATATCCAGACATATGCGCACAGACGCGTTATCATACGCGATCTTCGAGGGATCAGTTCAGAGCAGTTTTTCGGCGTCGAGGCATGGATTTATGCTACCCGTGCATGTGAAGGTCATCCTCTGAAAGCCGGATGCGCACCTCACCCAGGTCTCAAGTACATGGCCCACTAACCCAGTAGCTCTCCACTTGTTGATGAATTATTCCGGACATTTGCGTTCCAACGTTATGTTTATAAGCAGTATCAGACAAAAACGGGTCATCTACAATTCCATACATTGTTTTCCACGATTTCGAAACGAATGTTGACAACTGAATGTGTTTCCCAACTTGTCTATGCATGTTTGTAATTCATGATTTCGAGGAAAACCCAATCATAATCTTTTTAGGGCTGCATGGCCATAGGGCTGTAGGGCTATAGGGCTATAGGGCTATAAGGCTATAGGGCTATAAGGCTATATGGGCTATATGGGCTATATGGGCTATTGGGCTATTGGGCTATAGGGCTATAGAGCTATAGGGCTATAGGGCTATAGGGCTATAGAGCTATAAGGCTATAGGGCTATAGGGCTATAGAGTTATAGGGCTATATGGGCTATTTGGCCTATTGGGCTATTGGGCTACAGGGCAATAGGGCTATAGGGCTATGGGGCTATAGGGCTATAGGGTGATAGAGCATCTGGGCACCCGGGCACCCCTTGGCACCTCGGGGCACCCCCGGGCACCTCCGGGCACTCCCGGGCACCCGGGCACCCAGGCACCTGGGCCAGCCACCGAAATCGGCGGCCCACCTCATTCATGTGAATCCGCAAGGACCCTTACAGAGGCAAGCTCTGTTGGTGGAACTAACGCATGGGTCTCTTACATGTTTGCTCAAATCATGTACTTCACGAGTTCACAAGCACATGAGCCACTAAGCACTCCATCTCTGGGTCCCAAGCCGCGGAGCCATGCTACCAATTCCGTATCTCGCCCAAGGAGAGCAGCCGTCCATGGTCGAGAACAGCGCCTCAGTTCTCCAAGCTCGGGCCCCCTTCGGCACCCCAAGTGAAAGGATGGTTCAATATGCATCAGCATGCTATTCGGCAGTCCTGGCCCAAAGCCAAAACGAAGATAACCTGAGTCGGAGCGGAAGCAACCTCAGCAAGCTTGGGAATGCTTCAGTAGATGCATGCAAGAATGTTCCAAATCTGCCAAAAGTGGCCCGAAGCTGTTCAACATAGCTCCGCGACGGTTCACAGAGGCTTGTGCAAGAGCACGGCCGCTTGCAACAAATGTAGACTGTTCCAACCATCATGTGGTTTTGGGTCCTCGTTATGAAGAACAGCGCCCCTCCTCCTCCTCCTCCTCCTCCTCCTCCTCCTCCTCCTCCTCCTCCTCCTCCTCCTCCTCCCCCTCCCCCTCCCCCTCCCCCTCCCCACAGTCTTTTGGATGCCAAAGACCTGGTCAAGGGAAAAGGAGTGCCGTGGTTGGTTCGTGGCAATCTCGTGGCCGACGTATTGGTTGGGCGGGGGGCCATTCAGCACAGGCTACCGCTCAGCATCCGCACTCCCATCCTGACTTCGGAGTACCAATGTTGGCGATTCGCATGCGCATTTTGAGGTTCACGGTCGATGCGTTGACCGCCGAGGAAAAGATTGGCAATGCATGTGAGGCTCCTGTTGGTAGGGGTGGTCGGCACCGACAGGGAGGTCGGATGGCCCTTTGGGGCCCTGCTGTGGGCGCGTGCCGTGATGCAGGAACCGACCTCCATCCTGCTCCCGTGCGCCCCTGTTGTCGTGCCGCCGCCGCCGCCCGCCAGTGTTTCCCTTTTCGGTTCCAGCCATGCCGGCGTGGCGTCGGTGCCGCCCATGTCTGGGCTCGGCTTCGCTTTCTTTGGCCCGTGATTGGAGGAATTCGGAGTGTTTCAAGTTAGTTTCGATTGACGGCACCCTTAGGGAACTTCCCGAGGTGGCGAGGACACACGTCGCTGGGTGGGTGGGTGGTGGAGACCCCCCCCACAAAGTGCGCTGCACCAGGACTTGGATCTGCGCGCCTTGTGGGGTGTACGGGGATGAGCAGCTGTTAGGTCTCGGCACGGAGTGCCCCAATGTGGTGCCCCCCACCCGTGCTGAGCACCCGAAGCGCATCGGGCGGAGGATTTTCCCCGAGGCACCCAGCAGAGCCGAGCTCGGTCGGAAGGCCATGGCCCACAAGGGGCCTTCCTGAGCCTATGTTGTGGTTCGCCCTGTGGCTTCTGACTCTTGACTCCTGACTCTTCCTCCTCCTCCTCATCCTCCTCCTCCGTAGCCGTTGTGGCTAAAGGTGTTTTCGACCTTTGGCAAAGCACGGGGGCTCTTGGTCCATGGCCAGCGCAGGGCCCATTCCCACGCCTTCCTCGCGCCCGCGAGGTCGAGCTTCATAACCCTCGACGGTGCGTTCGCCTGCAGCGGGCCTTCATACCACGCGCTCCCTGTTCCTAAGGCTGGCGCGGGCCTCATATCCCGTGCGTCGACATGGTCACTCCCCAGGGCGCGGCAGAAAGCGACGCTGGAGGTATCTATTGTTGATGGAAAGGCAGGCCCATGGGCAGCTGGCTCCGCCAAACGAACCGCAGCAGGACTCCCAGCTCATCAACATAATGAGCTCCAATATCTGTTTCAAGAACAAATGGGCAAAGCCACCGCCGCCTTCGAAATCACCGCCAAGCAAGTCACGGCCCAATCTCAAGCTCAAATCATCTAGGCCATCACCAAGACCGCAGCTGAACGTTGTGGACGCCAAGAGAAGTGCGAACAAGGCGTCTCCCTGCTGAAGGCACGTGCCGATCGAGCTGAAGTCCTCCATGCTGAACTACAAGGAAGCGTTGCCTCCATCACGAGCTCCATCGCCGCTGCAGAGGCGCTCCGCCCCTCCATCGGCATCAACGCATTGGGCACTTGGGATCAATCATCACATGTTGCTACATTCTGGTGCGGAGCTGGGGCCGATTTTGATGAGGCGCACCCGAGACAGCCCTCGCTGATTGGTTTCAAGCAGCGGACGTCGATATCAAAGGAATTCGCCTCGACGCTTCTAGTCCTGGAAAGAGAATGTGATTTACGGTCGCTGGCGGTGACGTCCTTGCTCTTCCTCGCGGTGCTGCCCTGCGCGAAGCCTTTCGGAGATGGGAGAACATTGCGCTGATTTCCCTCCAATATTGCCAGTGCCCCACGCCATTCTACGCCTCTGCGGGCAAGTCCCCGCGAACGGTTGGATGAGAAGTCCAGTTCAAGAAACTCAGCAAGCTCATCATGCACGGCTTCCTCTTGGCCAACGGCTCGCCCATCGTGCGCGCCACCGCTGGGTCGACTCCCGAGGCTGTTGTGAGAATGCGTTGGTCTGATGCTGCCGCTCCTGCTGGCATTCCCGCCCGGGAGCATGAAGACCTCGGCGCCGAGCTTGGTGCTGCCTTCGCGGACCCCATGGCTGCCGTGCAGTGGCATAAGCACCCGTTGGCCTCCTTTGTTCATCAAGCAGCAGTCCGATGGCCTCAACATTGTCTCGGGGAGCACTTCGGCGCAACTGGGTCGTTCACATGCTCGGCGCTCACTCAAACGCCGTACATGAGGCAGCGCACGCTGATCGCGCTGCAGGAGACCCACGGTAACTTTACCGACCTACAGATCCTCGCCGAGTCCTCCGAGCTCCGCTTGCGATGGGAACGCGGGGGCCGCGGGTGGTGTCGGCTTCTTGGCGCCCTACCACAAGCAGGAACTCCGTCTCCCCGAACAAGAACGACCTCTGCGTGATTCCCGCCCTGTCGTACCTGGTCTGATCGCCGAGCTGCGGGCGCTGGGCAGCTCGCGCGCCCGCGAGACTGCCGTCTTCAGTGCGAACAACCACAAGCTGCCAGTCGTGGACAGACAAGTTCAAGCACGCCAGGGACATCGCCCGCGCCCGCGTCGCCGCCAACGCAGACGCGCATGACTTCGCCCTGATCGGCGCTGTCAACATCCGCCCGAGAGCCCCCCGCGCTCCGTCGACGCCTCCGCGACGGACCTACCGGCGCCAGCCCTCGTTCTGGAAGCGCACGTTTGCATCGTTGGCTGAGTTCGCCGCTCGCACTGCCACCCGCCGCTGTTCGGCGAGCAAGACGGGGGCCGCTATCAACCGATGCCTCACCTCTACCACCGCCCACAACATCCCACGCTTGGTGGCGCGCCTGGCCGTCGACGGCCGCCCGCCGGAGAGCTGGCGAACCTGCGAGCGATCCGCCCTCGGGCGCAGAGCCTGTCCGCGGAGAGAGACACCCTTGCCTTCAATGTCGGTTCCAGGCGCTGCAATTTCTACGTCTCGCGCGTCCTGGGCACGGCAGATGCGTCGGACTTCGACCCGCACTCGAGATGGCGAACCAGGATGCGCATCGTGACCCTGGCGGCGCAGAAAGCTCGCGACGCCCTTGCCAAGGCGCACCCAGCTGAGCCGAAGGACTCCGACCCGCTCATCCGACAAGAGGCGCGGGCCATGACTCTCCGCAGCATGGCTCGCGCCGCGCGATTCCAGGGCGCTCGGCTCGCCAGGTCGCCGGCCGCGGGCGCCGAGGAGGGCGCCACTTACCTCGACTTCGACTGCGGCGGGATCTCCATCTCTAACGCCGACGACTTCGCGACGGAGGTCGACTCCGCGAACCTGGCCTTCGCTGACAAGCCAAGCGTCGCCGGGAACCTGCCGCCGCCCGCCGTGGTGGCGTTTTTTTTTTTTTTTTTTTTTTTTTTTTTTTTCGGGAGCTGAACCGCCAGCTCGGGGACGCATGTCCACGGCGCGCTCGTCGCGCCGAATTCTGGGCGCCGTCTGCCGCGCGCGTGGCCCTTGCCGCCGCGCGCATCTCCACCCGCGCCCTCGCCGCGCCGTCGCCGACCCGATGGCCACGCGCAGCGCGACCCAGAGCCGCCGAAGCCAGATTTCCCCCCCCCCCCGAGCCGCCAGCGTCTCTAACATGC